AACTTTTTGATTATGAAACTGTCTTTTGCATTCTAACAAAAATTATTCCTTGCATAATGTTGCATATAACTGATTTATAAATGCTACATCTATTATGTGTATTATGTATGCTATACACACTATACAACTATACATACTGTACGTACTGTATGCAAAAAAAAATTAGATATCATATAAATGGCACATTTCTACTCGTGTGTCAGTAGAATTTCCAATCTGTGGGTCTTTTAATAGCCAAAGAAAATGTTACTAATTTTTAATTATAATGCAAGTATATAGTAAAAATAATAAATTTTATATAGTAATTTACTATAAACTTTAAATTTAAGATCCTTTAAAACTTATATATAAATTTTATTTAATTTTTTTTTATTTAATAGAGCAAGAATAGTAGATTATTATTTTAAAGTTTTGTTTTGATAGCTTGCAAACTCAAATAGTTTACTTAGAAGTAACTAAAATTTTTATAATAAAGTTTTAACTTTTGCATGTCTATATTTTTAAATATAAATATATAAATATTAAAATTTTATTATAAAAATTTTAGTTACTTCTAAGTAAACTACTTGAGTTTGCAAGCAATCAAAACAAAACTCTAAAATAATAATCTATTATTCTTACTCTATTATATAAAAAAATTTAAATAAAAATTTATATAGAAGTTTTAAAGGATCTTAAATTTAAAGTTTATAATAAATTACTATATAAAATTTATTTTTTTTACTATGACCCTGTATTAGAAAGGACATATCCCCCGTGTATTAATTCTCTCGGCTTTATCTCTGTCGCTCTGATGTTTTTAATAATAAAATCTTGGCATCTTAATTGATTTTTAATAATTAATACTTCTTTCAGAATATTGTTAATATTTTGATTAACATCAAGGCCTCTCATGGCCGTAGGAGTTCAATTTAGTTTTTATCCTGATAAAGATTGTTCCATTTTTTGATCAAAATTTTTATGGCTTTAAAAAGCACCGAATTCTTTATTAGTTTTAAATATTTCTGATATATGTCGATATATTACAGATCTCGCACACAACCTTTATTCGCACAAGTATAATAAGCATGTTTGCAGGTGTTATTATCTGCACAAGTAATTACTGCTATGATACCTTGACAAATATAACTACTTATTTATTCGTGAGTTTTCTTGTATTTTTGGATCTATGGATGTTTTAAGACATCTTTTAAAGGTAGATATTGTTTCAGGTCACGTTCCTTTCAGCGGTTTATGTACAAATCTAGAAATAGGCACTTTATTTAGTTTAATAATTTCTTCATATCATTGATGATTATATTACTTTTAATGGCAATTACTATGCATAATGAAAGGAATTAGTTTCGCTAATGTATGATTTTTCAAAATCAGAAAATATTGATATTGTACTATCGATATTATTTTAATCCTATATAATAATAATTCTAGAATTAAAGGATCATTAAAAAAGATTTAACCCTTTTCTGTTGGCTCCTTATATGTTATAATCATTAAGATACATGTAATCTTCGTTGCAAAAGAAGATTAAATAGTCTATCGTTATAATAATAATTCTAAAGATTTTATACATAAACAATAATTTCGATTTGTGAGCAAATTTTGGTTCAGATACAGTAAAAAATTTCTGACATATTCCTGATGCATATGCTAAATTCTAAAACAATCTATTTGTGACACTTTGTAATAACTATAAATACCGATACCTTGAAAATTTTTACCATTTGACGATAACGATAATGATAAATATTTAATACAAGAAATATGAGTACAGTATCAGAAATTGATACGGACTTAGACATTATTAAAAACACACTAGGTAGGAGTTTAAAAATCGAGTAAAAAAATTAAAACAGATTCTCACAATGTGAATTAACTAACGTTAATTAATGTGACTATTCAAAATTTGAAAAAAACTTGGCCCAGATCTAAAATGACCCTTAAGCCTTTTTTTTTTCTTTTATAAAGACAAAAAATTTGAACTGGACCTATTGTTATACATTTAACGAGAACCCAATTATTTTTCAATCTTATAGAATATTATTATTGGGGTATTCATTCCTTAATAGTGATGCGAACCGTAAATTATAAAGAATAAAAATAATCTATGAGTTACTTTAAATCTATAGTTTAAAAGAATCTGTAAATTATTTATATTATCTGTTTAATGTCAGTTTGCATCACTATTCCTAAAGATCTTGATAGTAATTTTGGATTACATCTCTACTTGATAGATAACTTAGATCAAATACTTATCATTAGCTAAACATCTACCTAAAATATTTTATTTTAATTAATTTATTTAACAACATTGTTGATGAGTCTGTAATTAAATGAATAAAATTTTTTAATGAATTACAGCTTTTAATTGTATTTCAAATTTTTTTCTAGTAACAATTTAAAAAACTTTTAGTTAAAATTGATAATAGTACTAAACTTAATATACTTAAGTAAACAAATAATATTAATTGCTTTGTTCAAAAACATATTTTTATCAATAGTCAGGAATTATGTTGATAATATAAAGTAGTGACATATTGTATTAAATAAACATGGTCTATGAATATTTATACGTAATTTGGACCTGTTTCACTGTACACAGTAACCTTTACCATAATTAATCATTTCAAAAAAATATATTCATTTATCTAAAGATTCTTTTGTGAGTTTTAAAGCTTTCTCTTTATCTTTACTAACACCAATCTCATCTTTATAACATTTTATTAGTTTAGTTTTGGCAAAATCTTTGTATCTTCTACCATTATTGTAAAAATCTATATAAAATTAAAATTCTTTTTTTGTATCTGTAAAAAAACCTTTATTATTTTTAATATGTTCTGCTAACAATAAATTAGTTTTTTGAAAATTGTTAGATCTTCTAATGTTAATATCTAAATAAAGCTCAAAAGCTTGTTGATATTCATTGTTTTTATCATAATACTGTGCTAACCAATTTTTGGCTTCATATTTGAATTTTGACTGACTATTGCTAACTTGATTATAGAGATCAAAGGTTGTGTTGTAAGTTTTAGCAACTTCTGGTATAAATTTCATTTTATGTTGTTTGGCTAAATAAAATTTTGCATTATCTGCATTTCTACATTTGCTATTAGCAATAGTTAGGAAATGATTATAAGATATCATATATTTATAATTGTTATAAGCTTTAACTGCTAGTTTATAGAGTTTGTCATAATTAGATATTTTCTGAAATTACTCAATAGGGCTAAGAACGAAGAATGATTTTTAAATATAAATATTTATGAAAAAAATAAAAAATTTCAGTATTGAAGACAATAATTAAAGATTTTGTAATTAGTTCACTTAATTAGTTCAATTACTTTATCATTTTCAATTGCAATGCTTCGTAACTTTGATGGTTAAAAAAAAATTATTATTATTGTATGGTATTTTTACAATTGATTTACAAATTCAATTAGAAATAGGCACAATAAAGTTGTATAATATTTTTTTCCTACCATTCTTTCGATAACTTTGTAGAGCTCAGTTTAATGATTATCGATCTTTATTAAACATACAAACTTTTCCGCTAAGGTAAGAAATTATTAAAGAATTACACTATAAGTTATTCAATTTATTATACACTCGTTCGGTAAAGTATTTATTTTAGATAGGAATTAAGAATTTTGGAATACAGTAAATATTGTATTTTTAAAAATTAGATCTATACCAGGATTTTCCTTTTGTAACAATTAAAATATCAAAGTGAAATTATTGTGGGGCTGAAGTGAATTGATTGAATGAAGGATACTGATTAAATTCTTAAATGATGATTTTTTAATAAAAAATAAATTATAATCTGCCTAATAGTTAATTCATACAATTTACTACATAATTAATACTGTATCTCGATAACTACTTATCTAAACTTTGCAATTTTTTTATTTATTTTAATTCTATGGATTTGCTCTAAGTTCAAAACAACTTAGATGATAACATACTCTGAATCTTAAATGCAATGTACCACATGATATAATGGACCAATCTGTTATATATTTGATCATAACTCGAATATAATTTTACAAGCTTGAAGAATTAAAATCATCAAGTAAAACTAACTACAGTTTATTTATACGTATTGTAATTCACAGTTTGCATCTCTAGTATATACAAAATTTTCTTCATCAGTAGTTAGTATTTAATATTATCTAACGTGCCAACATATCATACCATTTAGGATATAATTAATAAAAGGAAAAATCTTGAAGACAAATAAAACCAATTTGATAGTGATTATGTGTTGTTGTTTGGAGAAGTAAATAAGTCTTCTTTAATAGAGATTATAGGTGAAAAAAATCTTCAAGAAGAATTAAACTACCAGATATTTGAATCCATTAAAGTAAAATTATTTGTTGTGTTTGTTACAGTATTTAAGACTTTTGTAACTTGCTTATATTTATTTTATAATGTCAAATGATCATCTTTAATAGTATTTGGTTAGACACAAATAGTGTGTATTGGGCTTATTATGTTGTATTTTATACAGAAATTTTTTTGCTTTATGGATTACGAATTATTAATAATATATACACTAGATTGAGAATATTTGTCACCATTGCAAAAATGATTTTAGCAAAGTAACTCTTTTAAAATGAAAAATATTTACAAGTCTGGTTAGATGATGAGGCTCAACCACTTTTCTACTTTATCATGGAAATTCTTTGACTGGAGCTGATAGTATTTGATAAGTTCATGAGATTTTTTCATTAGTCAAAATTGTTGGTAAAATTTTTATAGCAATTCTTTCATGAGTTATTCAACATTGAACATAAGCCATTATTTAGTTTATTTATTAATTATTCGTCTTTGTAAATATTAATATTTATAAATGTGATAAATAAAATTACAATCTCTATTTTCTTGTATCCAATTTTTTTTGTTATTAAATAGAATTATTTGTGCTAATCTAAAACGGTATTAAATTCTTACGATTGAATTAATTTTCAAATAGTACCAATCTCTGGGTGTAGAGATGTGAACTGTGAATTACAATACGTATAAATAAACTGTAGTTTATTTTAAAACTACAGTTAACTACAGTTTTACAATAAACTATAGTTTATTTATATTAACTACTAGTTTACGGATCACACCTCTAAGTTAAATAGTACATTGCTTGTCTCAATTATTTTTTAAGAAGTTTTTTCATCTGCAAGGCTAAATCCTGCAGAACTTTATTTGACAGATTAACTTTAGATTTTTTTCTAAAAGATCCACCATTGTATATAAAAAATTGAGAATAATTAAATAAATTTCAACAATTAAAATATCAAATTGAAATTTTAGAGCATCATCCAATGTATCTTTTGCAAGTTTTCTAAGCTTAACATGATCATCAGATATGTGCGATTGAGCTTGCATTGTATTCAGTGTTGGGTTGACCATACCAGTTTGACAAATTGACCAGACCAATTTGACCATTTGACTAGTCTGGTCAAAAGATTTGTATTGGTCAAATTGGTCAAATAGCATTTTTAAATATAATTTATTATATATTATATTTATATAATAGATTTGACTAATTTGACCAGTTTGACCAATTGACCAATTTGACCAGACCAATTTGACCAGCAACTTTTTGCTTGACCACTGATTTGCCCAACACTGATTGTATTAATAAAGGTCTATTAAAAACACATTGGTACAATAAAATATGTAATGATATTATATATGATTTCTTTAAATTCTCTGGCCACATATTTAGGAAGTAAACAAAAAAATATATTGTAATTTGCTTCAAAACTAGGGATGGGCCGCTGCGCAGGTGGAATATTTCAGAAGATTGGAATATGCCAGAAACCATTAAAATTTAGCAAGTTTGGCCCACATTAGCTATAATGCAGGCCTGCACAGTATTTTCAAAAAATCGTTGATTTGCCCATCCCTATTCAAAACTCAATGTATTATTTAGATAGGATTTACTGAGTTGATAAACTTTTCTGCAGTAAGTTGTTCTTCATAGTCTTCCTGAAAGTTATTGTAAAGCTTGCATAATAAACCACTGTCAATGTATGCTAAGTATAAGTCTTCTGGTCTTAAATTGTATAACAGTCTTACAAAATTATTTACAACACACCATAATTTTAATAATTCAATGACATCTATTTTATATATTACTTTTCATATAAAATGAAAAAATATAGTTTTCTTTTCATAAGTTTTTATTGTCTTTATTTGAGTCCCAGGAGGAAGATTTGTAAATACATTATTTGAAAATTAGTTTTGAATTGATAATCATTTACTAAAACTGTAGGTTGAACATAGTTTTCTTTCCATAAGTTTTTATTGTTTTTTTTTGAGTCCCAGGTAGAGATGTGAACTATGAATTACAATATGTATAAATAAACTATAGTTTATTTTAAAACTATAGTTAACTACAGTTTTACAATAAACTATAGTTTATTTATATTAACTACTAGTTTACGGATTGTCCTCTAGTCCCAGGAGGAAAATTCTGAAAGATTTGTGAAGACATTATTTAAAAATTAGTTTTGAATTGATAATTGTTTACTCTAAAACTGTAGGTAGAACATAGTTTTTTTTCCATAGGTTTTTATTGTTTTTGTTTGAGTCCCAGGAGAAAGATTCCGAAAGATTTGTGAATACATTATTTGAAAATTAGATTTGAATTGATAATCATTTACTCTAAAACTGTAGAACATAGTTTTCTTTCTATAAGTTTTTATTGTTTTTGTTTGAGTCCCAGGAGGAAGATTCTGAAAGATTTATGAAGACAGTTAGAAGACTTACTAAAATAAAAAATGGAAGATATAAAAGGGAATTGTTAACTAGGTTTTCATCCTGATGTAAGATTGGCTTTATTGGGGAGTAAGTTTCATGGCCAGAAGAGCACATACAAAACAGTTCACGAAAAAGCGCAAAGAAATGTTTACAAGTTCAAAAGAAGAAGAAAAATATACTCGTGGCGAACTTAGCCTGAATAGTCTTAGTTTTTGTACAATTAGTTGTTGCATGTTTAGTTATTTATTTTGGAAATCAAAATTGAACAACCAGTTTAACAGCTTATAAAAACAACTTAAGTGGTCAAATATAGAGATGCGAACTGTGAATTATAATATGTATAAATAAACTGTAGTTTATTTTAAAACTACAGTTAACTACAGTTTTACAATAAACTACAGTTTATTTAT